ATACATCTGCTTCACAGATAAATTTATTACCTAATGGTCTTATTACTTATTAATAAGACAAGGGAAGGTGCGAGCTGCCTGTCAACGTCTTTTGCCGCTGGGTTGCCACCCCTGTCGTTGACAGCCCTTCTGTCGCCAGATGGTTTCTCGTTCCTCAAAATTGTTTCTTAGAAAGGTCGTCTAATGATCAGACCGATAACGGCCGCTTCTAACTGTCGCTTATCCGTGTCGCTATTTTTTTTTTTCGTGCACGTTATTTGGAGTGCAAATTTGAACTTGCAAGATTTAGATAACCCGGCAAAATTTGGTTTTGAGATCTCATACGCTTGACTTTTTATTGCGTTCCAAACGTACACTAGATGAACCGTATATAGAACTAACCCATTACGACCTCTTCTGCGGAATTCACAGGACTTCGCCACTCTATTTCCCGTATAAATAAATTTTCACTATTTTCCCTGCTGAATGACTTGCTGGTAGTATTAAAAGCATGCAAGTTCTTCGTCGCTCTGTTTTTTTTTTCTATATGGAATGTCGTTTGCTTATATGCCTTTAACACTCGTCGCGTATACCTTTTAAGTCTGCATGCTTCCAGGGATCACACCGACCTACTATCACCCTCATCGGTCCAGTAAACTCAAGTGATGAAACAAGGAAACGGCGAAATTTCAAATGAACCCTTGTTAAAAAATAAGCCAGATGGGTCGATCATTGCAAAGACTCGTTTTACGAGCAGTGTATTTTTATTATATTATCGCTCATCTCAATCACTTAGTTGCCAGAAATTATGAAAGGGATTGGCTGTATTTGTTCATTATCATTCCCACCAAGCACATGCATCGGCCATGGCCGGAAGCACATGAACTCTGTTCAGGAACAGGATAAGAACATGTTTTAAATCATTGTTTTTTGAAAAGTTGAAACTACCTGTGCTCTTTACAATTATCTATAATACTTTCTAAATGATAACTTGTCGTTCCACATCAGTGAAGTTTCCCAAGTATTTCCCGTAAGGATTACTAATTTTATAGCTTGTGTTGTTCACAGGAATTTCACGTATTCCTAGAAAAGCCTAGTATCCCCTGAGAATAGATTGTCAAACTTCCGTCTGGCAGAGTTTCATATAACTTGCCAGCCTGTGAGTCGTCCTCTGGATATTTATCTTTCATTTTAGAGTTATTTATTCATGAGTTATGTTTTGAATAGTTTAGGAATGCAATGAAAATAGTTCGATTTGACGTGCGCCAACAACGTTTGGCACCGCAGCCAATTCATCGAAACGTTGGGTGGCCGATGTACGATGCTCTCGCACGCCGTGTAACGTGCAGCTAAACTCGAACTGCTGCCGCACGTCACTGTACGACAACATGGGCGTCTTGGCGACGTGAACTGATTTTAGATATCGTTCTGATAGTGCGAGGGTTTCAGGGACGTTTAAGCCTGCACAGCTGATGTACTTGGTGGTGCTAGTATCTTGGTTAACGAAGAGAAGAACCTCAATCAATCAGAAGATCAACTTTCTCAAGTGAACATTGTAGTGGAAGTTTATTATTTTGTCGCGTCATGTGCCTTCCAATTGGAAAGGTAAGCAACTAAGCACGGGAAATTCTTAGTTGTACCTGAAAATACGAGTTTGTTTTCATGTGACGTGCCGGCATTTGCGTACCGAATCTTTAGTCTGTTGTTAACCGTTTTCATTACCTACATAAAATTAGTTGAAATGTTAAGACGACTATTGCAAGGCGGCTGTTAGAGGTTTCAATTTGTGTATTTTCTCAATAATTGAATGTCTTTTAAAAATTATTTGCGTGGTCAATAATAAGTCTACTGTTATCAAAAATAACGGCTTGCAATTGCAGGATATTGCACGTTATACAAATTGCGTCCTTCCTCTTTCGGCCAGAAAGTACGCATCGAATGAAATGGAAAAGTTTAATTGCCAGTCTAATGCTACTCATTTTTCTTTGACTTCGTTATAACTATTGGTCTTTCTTTCTCTCTGTAGCGAGACACAGCTATGTATTAAAGTAAAATGTGTCTTATTATAAAATTTTGGTTAGTTCGTTTAATTTTTAGCGCATTTTCTTATTTATGGAAAAAATGCACTATTGTGCTCGTCATGTCCGTCTGTCCGTCCGTCTATCCGTCTGTCTGTCCGTCCGTGACTTCATGTTTTCGTCGACGAGAAAATGCGCTCTCTGTCACTCACTGCGGTGAGTACTGAGTTATATATTTTGCTGTTTTATTCGTGGGATGAAGAGAATCAATGGTCATAGAGAGCATGAAATATATTTACATTATTTGGATAAAGGTTGTGTTCAGTTATTACCTATCACATTTACGAGAGTGTCGAGTCATGAGGCACCGAACAAAGTTCATTGAGAAATTTACCACGTGTCATGACAGCTCCCGTTTCTCTGCCGGCGCCTACGATATGACATTTTTCGTCTTATCTTCTTAGATAAAAGTTCGCCGTAGTCGTCCTGTTCTTGGTAAAATAACTGATACACTTTAGAGCCTAAGTGCATTTTCTAGGGAATGCTCATGAGGTGATTACTGATTCCTCGAAATAAACACTTGAGCTCATACTGTTATCTCTGAAACAGAAAAATTCTAGTAAATTATATATGGGCCCTTGGCTTATCAATGATCCGTATTTGCTGCTTTACACCCTAAAGCTTATCACTTTTAAAGCTTCGTACCGTATCCGGGAAATTTTGCGGCTTTGCCTTTCTTCATAACTTGACTTTGAATTTCTAATAGCTGATAACGCACCCATTTCTTATGAATTTCCTGTCGCGCTGTTGACTTCTGAAAAAAGCCTTCACTTAGATGCCAGTCTTGTTTGATCGTTGCCAGAGCACAGAGTGGTGCTGATCCTATGAAAAAAGTTTTTGTACCAAGACTAGCAACTATTCTGTTAGTGTTCTCAACATTTTTATTTGAACTTAGGTAAGTACTTGCAGCGTATAGACTATTTTGGTTTCTATTTGGTTATTTTTTATATTTTTGGGGTTAATTTTTTTTATTTCTACACCGTCGTTTGGTTTAATAAAAGCCAAAATGAAATTTAAAAAATTGCTTATTTTTAGATAAACGAATTTGAGATTTTGCAGCACATTGTTTAATTTAACATTCTCAGTTGTGGTAGCTGGACGTTAATCCTACTTGGTGCTGAAGCAACACAACAGTTCAGTAACCCCTGTGGTTGCTTGCGTTATTTGCGCATTTGTTCGAACGCTGTTCGCAGAATCGATCGTTCCGAGAACGCCACTCGTCGCGTTTGTGATGTTGCTCATTAACTTTCCCTTCTCTGCGATCGCTAGCCAGTTAGCTGACTTTTAAACCGTTGAGCTGTGACCGTCATAACTTGCAATACCACGTACTGCTTATAACCGTTAAGTGCTTCTTGGTAGGGATGCTGCCGAGTATTTAACAGCCTCTTCTCCAAGCTGAAGTAAGGGGTCGTCTTATATCTTCATTTTTATGGCCGAGCTTTTGGCAGAATTTCAGAGTGAGGTGAATATTGAATTTCGGCCGTTTGAATTTTGAAATGGATTCTGTGTCCTTACTGTCTACTAAACGTTTGTGTAGATTATCTTATTCTAAAATTTTCTGCATAAATTATAAATTTTTCGAGTTTTTGTTTAATTATTTTTAATTGTCTTTCTGCGCTATGAAAAGTTCTTCGCATGTAATGTAAATTCCGTCGCATGGTATGGCTGTTCTAAATGAGAATCGAAAAAAATGTAATGTGGTTTTCCTCGAATTTGGTGTTGAAAGCTAGATAAATTTTTTACGAGGCTTTTTTTACTTGCGGAGTCACAAGCATGGAGCAATGTTCTTTGAGGACATTCACACGCGAATCTTTGACTATTGTAACCATGCGTTTCATTACCAATTGTAAGAACGATACTGGTCACTTAATTGATGACGAGAGCATTGCGGTTATCGTTTCCTAATCTCAGGCCTCTTGACCGTACCCTGCTGTTAGTACCATGAAAGGATTCGTTTCTCAAGAAATTATTCTGGCCGCTGAGTGAAATCTTATCAAATAGTGAGAAAATTTTATCAAGGATTGAAAAAATCTTATCAAAGAGTGAGAAAATCTTATCAAAGGCCGCTGAGTGAAACTTAATAGACTTATGAAATCTCATTTTTTGAGTACATATTTAATAATTGTGTTGTCGCCCGTCCGATTGCAATAATTCAATCATTTTTAACGCTAGGAAATTTTGTGTTTTTTAGAATAGATATTCATCATATCGTATGTTAATCGCTGTTATGAAAATTATTACCCCGGTAAAACTGTTTATTGAAATCCAATGAGAAAATTTGGTTTCTGAATTTTGAACTGTTATTTTTCTTGTATATCCATGATGAAGTCTTGTATATCCATGTTATTATAGTTCAGCGGTTGCCGTTACTTCAGTGCCTGATACAATAATTTTTTACGCGTATGAGTGAGTAGGTAGTTTATGCGAGTGCGGACGACAAGGTTCTTTTTTTATCTGATCTTAACGGAAGCAATTATACGGGAACGTTAGACGCGGCTTCCGTATTGAGAAGCCATATCTTATATACGGTTATTTCCTCGTAACATTATTTAGAAAGTAAATAAATTATTTGAATTTTAATACGTAGTGTCTTATGCACGTTAAATTATGGTTCTTAATTTTATAGTACGAGACCTACTTTTGTAAGGCGTCTTGCTGTGAAGTGGTTTAATGTAATCTTTCGTAATGAGTTCTTATTTTTACTAGTAAAATTTTATGATGAATTGCTCTGCATATGAATGCTATATAGGTACCGGTACCAATTTTTGTGAACTTGATGAATCTCCTTTTTATGAGTTATACCTGGCATTTGGCAGCTTTATGTAAATACATGTCTTTCGTGTAGAGTATTTTCACGTAGGTAGATAAGCAATAACGAAACTTGACTTGCAAATCATTTTGTAGCGTTACCTGCTTATGCTAACTTTTGCCATTCTATTTCAGATGCTGATGTGTCCCTCATGCCTCCACGAGATGCCACTCCCGTCGGCAGTGGCAGCGACGCTGTCTTCCTCTGGCGTGACTGCTTCCATAGCGCAGGGTAGCGCGCTCCCGCGGTCTTCGGCGTCCGATTTAAGAACTTCAGTGTGCCCGAATTCATCGTCCAAAAGTTCGTCGTGTCCATGCGACAAGCCACTATTGTCTTCACTCCTGAGTCCTCCATGTGGTATCACGCAAACTGGCCACACATCCAAGACTTGCCATGTCACGCCCATGTGTCGATCAAGGGCGCCTTGCCATGTGACGCCGTACGTTTGTGGTTGTGCCCTGAGTCGTTCGCAGTCTGCATGCCAAGGCCCACAGACGACCCTTAGTCCGGCAGTTACGTCTTCTGCGTCCAGGTCCTGTCGAGTTCTTAATTGCCCTGCTAGCATAGATGCAAATATCAACGTTGATCACAATACAACTTGCGTCCATGCTGACCTTCGGGTGAACATATCAACACCTTCTAATATTTCTAATCAAAACTTGAATGCAAATGTCACTCGTTCTTTGCGTGGTGGATGTGAAGCTCCGGTTACTGTTCCCTGTCTTTCTGGAAATTGTTTGAAGAGCCCGTCTGAAAAGGATAATATCGACATCACTAAAACAAAGCTAGCCAGTCTATGTTCATGCCCAACATCGCCTTCAACTCCTTTGAACAAAAGTAATACATGGCCCTCGAATAATATTAGTCACTTGAATACCAAAGAACTCTCAGAAGAAAACGCTACCACTGTGAAGCATTGTTGTGGCTGCATATGTCCATGCTACGGAATGTGTTTATTGCATGCATCAGTTTCCAATTCCAACCATGTATGTCAAAATCACCCGGAAACTCCGCATAATTGTTCTTTTAATCACACCACATGTTCTGATTCGAATAATTGTGACGGCCGTGTTCCCTTAACTAGGCAAATCTCTTGTCCAAACACGAACCCTTTAACTTCACGCATTTCGTGCCCTTGTCAACTTCAACTACAGCAATCGTTTCAAGCGACGCAAACGTCTTTCGACGCACCTGCCAACGATCTACCTTTTAACTTCTCCCAGCGTCGAGGGTCTTCTCACTTATTTTCACCTGAACTTAATTGTTCTTCGTCAGTAAACAATTCTGGCCTTTCGGTCACATCTCGAAGCCAAGCTGGAAATTTTGTAGTTTTCAATTCTATGTGTGGAGGTGGATTAGTGACAGAAAACCCTCCTCAGCCATCTCGGTCTTCTTCCCCTGAACTGAAATTTACATTTTCTGTACCTTTAACTGGTTGTTTTCAGTCTCAGTCTGGGTCCACTTCCCCTTCTCAATCAAGTACTAATCACACGATAAGTTTTGATCGGAACGCTCTAATGCAAACTCTGGCTTCTTTGTCCACCATACCTGTTACTTCAAATGCTGCATTCTCTGTCCCTAATGCGAGTTCCTGTGGATCTGAGCCTAATTCAGCCCAGACATCGCAGGGGGAGAGTCTTTCTTTCCAGAACATTTCGTCGAGATCGTTTCCGACGAGCACTTCGTATCCCTGTTCTCTATCCTCATCTTCTTCCACGTCTCCTTCTCCTGTGTCTTTCGATACAAATTCTTCATTTTGTTCCGGGTGTAATTCGCATGTTCGTGAAAGGCATAGCTCTCATTGCAACCATTTGCATCAACATGGCAATGACTTCAATCGTAACTGCTCTGACGAATTGTGCAAAGTTAGCGAAACCACAAACCACTTCATTACCTCCATCAATAATATTGTTATGACATCTCCCGTTGTTCCTGCTACTCCTTCAGCAAGTGCACTCCCAGAACGCCGTCTTAATCGACCATGGACATCGACTGATGATTCCATAGTTCTACAACGAGCCCGAGCTGAACTAGAGGAATGCGGTTGGTATTACGGTGGTCTGACGTGGAAAGAAGCAGGTTCAGTTCTTGCTGGTTCCTCGGAGGGTTCGTTTTTGGTTCGTGACTCCTGGAGCGGCCGTTGCCTGTATGCACTGAGCCTGCAAACAGCGAGAGGCCCAACTAGCGTAAGAATCGAGTACGAGAGTGGCAAGTTTCGGCTGGAGAGTGAAACCAGTGCAAGAGATGGTGTCCCTCAGCGGTCCAGCGTTGTGGCATTGGTGCAGGCATACACCCAGACCAGCCACCCTGCTCATGTGTGGGTGGATCACTCCGGGCAAACTGTGAGCGCAATATCCGTCAAGAAACCATTGAGGAAAAATCCTCCGTCTCTGCAGCATTTGTCTCGCCTGGCTTACAATGCATCTCCAGTCAAAGTCAGCCTACTCGACTCCAGAATTCCTACTTTACTCAAAACTTATCTCGAGTCTTACCCACACGCTTGCTGACTACTCTATTCTCGTATTAACCTAAAGAAGCAAAGAATTATTCAATATTGTATCTGTCTCCACATATCTTTAACCTGGTAAGCTTCATTGTCTTATTTATTTGAATCTTCTCTATTCTACTTATGGAAGAGAGATATCTTTCTTAATGTAAGATTTTCATGTGCGCCTATGTCAAGGGGTAGAATTTTCATGCTTGTTTTAAGAAAATTCTAGTTTTTCTTACAATAATATTGTTCCTCCAGTCCAGAAATTTAAAGGCAGTAAATAATCGTTTTTATACATTGTGTTATTCTTGGACTCTAAAAAGTTGTAGGTAATTGCCCATGTATTATATACGAAATAACCTTACTACATTATACCTTATACCCACGTACTCTACCCGCTAGGGTCCTGACTTGCCTATTGATCGTACCGTAGATAAAAAAATCATTTTATGATTTGTTGCTAAATAAAGTTTTAGCAAACTTGCTTTATTCGCTTTTCCGGTCAACTTCGCACCATGTATCGTTAGCCAAATTTGTTTACCATTTGAGCTGTAACCTTTCAGTAAATAATTTTGTATCGCATTGAGTAAAAAGTAGCAAGAGTGGGGTAATTTTATAAGCAATTTTCATTCAGATTAAAGTAATATAAATTATCATGTGTCAGGTGCTGATAGCAATCGTGCTGCCTTGATGTTTCTCAAGTTGTGCAATCTTCCATTTAGTTACGTAGCAGCGCTATATTTATTTCCATGTTGTCTTCCGTGTACTTAAGATACATCGTTGCTCGTTTCAATTAAATTTGTTTCCCCGCTAGGGATATTGTCGAAATTAAACTTTTAAATGTGCCCATTTCTCTTTTCGTAACTTTGATGCTGAATATTGGTTCATTTTTCTTCTGATAATATCGGCTCGATAATATCATTTGTCCGCGGGCTTATAATGTACCTTATTCCTGTTAAAATTTTCCCATAGATCCATGTCATTTGGTTTCATGTTCACTGACGTATTTACAAATGCAACTTTATAGGCTGTTCTGTAGGCTGCAATGTTATTCTCGTCGTAAGTGAAGCCTTGTAGCAATTTCTAAATATGGTACGCTTGTTGTGATCACGTTTATAAAATTCAATGGTCAAAATTCATCGCAGAAATGGTTCAGACTAACTTCTCGATTCACCAATCGAATATTCAAAAATGTTCTCAGTGTAGGGTGTTTGATTAACAGGCTGGTAGAAACGAATGTTGAGCCAACGATAACTCCAATAGGTACGATGTGGTATGAGTTTACATTCTAACATACGCACAAGACATAAGTGCCAAAAATGACGAGATCATGTCGATGCAAGTTTGCCGTTTCGTTCTGCTAACGTGGTGCTATAGTAACGATGATATTATTCTTAACCGTGCATGGTTTTAAGCTGCACGCAAACTTGCTACTGTATCATCTGATTAGGCAGTGTAAATCAATTGTACCTTCGCAGTTAATTCCATTGCAGTAAGAAGATATAGTTGAAATTAATTATTTTTGAAACTCTGCGTTAAAATCAACGAAGATTTTGACCTACTCGAACCTACTCGATGAGTAAGTTGGGATTGCCTTTATTCAATTGCGAATATTGTTTCTTTACTTATGACACCTGAATGCTTGAACTTGAACTGTAACGTTAGTCCTTGAATTGATGGCGGTAATATTAAGCATATGATATTCACGCACCTTACGAGCTTGGAATCCAATGCTGTCAATTACAAAGTTGCGGCGAAAGAAAAACAATTGAGGAATGGGGCTGTAAATGGGGATACGATGCAAACTACAGGGCTGACCTTCGTTGCTTCCTATGTCTTTTGATTAACGCGAAATCGGTAATTTTGGACGTTAATCAGTTTTCTCTTGAAAATTTCTAAGACACATTGACTGTTGTTAGCAATTAAACTCTATTGATTGTTTCATGCATTACAACGATGGTCACTTCGAGGTTCCTATTGGTCATATCAACTTTGAATTATTTGTACATCTCTGGCATGTTGCCAGGATGTTATATAGTTTAGTTGTCCGTTGATTTCAATCGAAAGCTTAACACAGGATTTAGCGAAGAGCTCCTCGGTGTGAACTGTTTTGGCGTGTATCGGCAATTGCTAGATAAGGTTTCTTCTTTTATGCGCTTCCACGGTGAATTCGTAAAAGCGCTCAAAATTCCGAGGTGCGAAATTTATTTTTCAGTTTGTTAGACCGCTGTCGCCAGCAACTTTATGATGAAGATTGCGAGACATAATTTTCGTGTCGTGTTGAATTTTTACCATAAAATTCGAATCTTCAAATCCCATAAACTCTTTACCTAAGTTTTTGCAATGCAAGTAACGCTTGAGTTGCAAGAAATTCAAATGTGTTACTGCATGGCAAATATTTAGTACCTGTATTGTGCATAACTCGGGGCTTTTTCATACATGGTATTTTCTTAAATATGTGCCCTCTAAAATCACTGTTTTGTTGGGCTGCCTCGACTTTGTAAACGAAGCCGATGATTCTGAGCTGCAGGAAATTGTTATTCACCGCTGCAAGAATTCCTAATCATTGACTTCCTACGTACTCTGACGTAAAGAGTCTGAGCTATTATTGCAAAGCTTGTAGATTTTCTGTGTTGTTGTTGAGTCGTCTGTGCTAAAACTACGAATTCCTAGAGGACTGATCCATTTAAAAGAACTTGAGTTTGACATTGCTCTCATGTAAGTTTTATATGATGATTACAATATATATTTTTTGATGTATTTTTTGTTTGAATGCTCCTTATTTGGGTTTGCTAAATCAAAGAGTCAATCATGCTTGAGAGCGATGCGATTTCTCTTCAGGGCACTGGTTTTCTAGAACGAATTATAATATTTACTATTTCAGGCCTACTTCCAGCTGCCGTGCAAGCTGCTTGGTTAATAGGTCTTGGAATGACTAGGTGGACGTTATCCAAGAAGTCATTCCAGAAGTTATCCTAGAATGACTAGGTGGACGTTATAATATGCAACAATGTAGCGAAAACTGGGCAGGGTGGCTCAGTGGATACAATTCTGATTACCAAGATGGGAGCAGAGAAGTTGTAGCTGCGATATCAGCCTCCTGCGACGCTTATGGTTAGGCACAGCATTGGGTATTAGGATAAGCACAGCAAAGTTGTAGCTGTGAGTTGCGTGCATGCGACCGAGCAGTGAATGTTCTGCGATGTAAAGGATCTGTGACAGGCCTAACGCATCGCTTTGATTCGTTTGAGTAAGTTAAATGTTTGGGTTCCTTTAATGCTCAAATTGAATTCGCTAACGGCTTAATAAACGCTGACATCGCTATTACGATAACTGAACACCGCGCGACTCGAAAATCGTTTTTTATACTTGAAATCAGCGCAGCATAGTGAAATTATAGAAGATTTAAAATCTTTCGCAAGTGGAACCAAATCATATATATGTAAAGCTAAAACTTTCGACCCTTCTTTTATTATCTTCTCACTCGTGTGTTGAATTTGAAAAGTTATTAAAAACTGCCTTCAGAACGACGAAATTACAAAATTTAGGTATCAGCGGCAATTCAAAACACGGAAGTAAAGCAATTTTGCACCGAATAAATCATGCTGACGAATAAACTTGTCCAAATCTCTTTTGTTTAATTATTATTGACATATATTAAGGTCGAATGAAACCAGCAGTGGGTGGCCAGGAGGATTGTGTACATGCATTTATGCTGCATTTTGTTTAATTTACCTAATTTTTATCAATATTTCCTGAAAATTTATCATTTTTAGTTGCTAATCTAAAAAAAAGCTGCAAAACTTTTGTGCTTAATCATGTGGAATTTTAGAGTCATCATATTGATTTTGGCATAGGCGGCCCTAAAAATTCTCGGATACATTTTCTTTGGCTCATAAAAAACGTGTGCTCAAAAGATATTTCGGATACTAATGTAATTTGCGAGGTGACTTCTTTTAGTTTTCGGTATCATGAGTTTTATCCATGTATATATAATTTTACTTAGCTATCAAAATTTATATTCCAGCAGACATTTTTAAATTATCTATCATGTATTTGTGAAAATTTTGTATGTCTGAAGCCTGAGTCTTCATAAGGGGTTAATAAAGCATGCAACCTTCCCGAATCCACAAATCGGCGATGGTTGCGGCGATCCAACTCTTATCGGCGGGATATTACGCGGATCTAAAATGTCCTAATGTCATTTGTAGATGAGATATCACTAAAAATTACGAAAGAATTTCTACTAAAATTCAGTCGTCCGTGACCCTATAACTATTGGCTTTAGGGTAAAAATAGTAATGAAATAGCCTCAAATAGGCTAACACACACAGTACATATTTGGTGGATTTCCGGAGTATAATGATAACGCAAAAACATGCCTATACGGGTCCACGTTATAGGTGACTCAAAACCTATAGGAAAAAATGAACATTCTTCCGTGTAATGAACCCTGTATTCCGGCGCGCATCTAGACTGATCTAGTGAGAATGTTCATTTTAAGTGAACATCTGCAGTTCGCACTTGTTTTAGGAATAACTTGTCTTGATAATTTTTTAATTATTTATGAGTTTTTACTTTGGTTCATTTGAAATTCAAACGAAATTTACGAGTGATTTATTTGTTACTATTATGCTTTACAAACTTCGCTTATAAACATTTACAAATTACCCAGTAGCTTCAAATTGTCGACGATTAATGTCCCCTAAAAGCGGTGACATAACTACAAATTATAGGTTTCACCGCAAAATTCAATGTATGTATGCAATGCCAGCAGATCACGAGCAGCTTACTTGAATAAACGTATACTTTAGTGCACTTAATTAATTATAAAACACGTACACTTTATTGCATGGGCAACGTAATTCTCTATGAAACTGTGACCCAATACGCATTAGAAACTATTGAATCCTTTAACAATAGTTTAAATATAATGGAATCCGAATGACACTCGTATAATATTGTATAGCATATAATTCTCTAACTACGAAAGAAGCGATAACCTAAATATAACAAAAAATATTCTCGGATATAAGTATTAAAATCACTTGGCTGCTTAAGTCGCAAATTTACCAGGAATTTAAAAGTAAAGAAAATAGCCAAAAAGCTCACCATTTCTTATAATCGAAAACGTTTCGGAGTCCAGCTCCATCTAATAGAATAGAAGTGTCGGCGTTGAAGAAATAGGCCCATGGCCTGTTGCCGATTCCTGAACTTTTCGTGACTTGATTCACAAGGGATCCGGCCTTTGGAACCCGATCTTTCTATAGCTGACAATTGAAGAAAAGAATAGAAGGTTTTCGATTATAAGAAATGGTGAGCTTTTTGGCTATTTTCTTTACTTTTAAATTCCTGGAAAATATTCTCGTCTTTACTGAGGCAATGGGTACCAATGCATTCTTTTTCCTTCGTTAAATGTATTTTCTTACTGGGAAAAGCCCCACCTGTATAATATATTGCGTGATTGCTTATTACTGTTGGACCAAAGTACTCATACCCTTACAATTGAACAACGACTCCTATAGATAAGGAGGTCGGGTTAAAGGTAAGCGATAAAGACGCAATTGAAGCATGTCGCATGTTGTGTATGATGCTCGAGTGCTATTAGCAAATATGTACTACATCGGTCCAACTCGATCCAGTTTTATCAGGCTAATAGTCCTCTTCAGTCGAGTTTGATTGCACCGAGAGGGTCATGCTCATGCATCTTTTATCGTCCATGATAAACTTTCTTCCTCATTTTGGTCTATGAACAATTTATTATATCGACGGTGTATATATACTTAAGTGTAAAAGAAATTATATGCCACAGTACCGTCATAATTTGATCGATTTCTTAACAAAATAACATTAGAACAAAACCACATTTGCTGCTCATTTCTTGTTGCTATTCTTGACAGCGATCTTAGTGCGGTAGCCATCATGTAATTCGATGAATGAAAATAGGTAATTATTATAACTTATTATGGATGATTAAAAAACGATCTTTATTCATATTTTTAAATATTTCTTGCATTCCTGAAATATTTCATGACAATTTTCGAATTATTATACCAATTAAAAATAACAATTTTTGCCATTTATTTTATTGCGTGTCTCTGTAGCATGCCTCCTCCTTCAATCTTCTATTTTTTCCTTTTTACATGCACAAACCGAGCCGGTAGCTTATATGGTTTCCTATAAAAGGTTTCCTATTTATGGTCTACAGGAGATCATCCATATATGGTTTCCACTATGCATTGAGTTTCGACTATGCATGGAGTTCTCGTATATGAAACAAAACCTACGACTCCTTGATGTAAGCGATACAAATTAGTTCATTGATCGTAACTTTCAATTGATTTCTAGAATTGACAGACGTAGTCGGAGCATATTAAAGATTGTCTGAATGTGTCTTACGATGAGGCATTGAGGTTTTATTCGTATTTAGCCTTTTGTCATTTTTATCTACTGACCATCCCAGAAATTACGTCTTACATCCATTTAAAATTTAAGCAAATAAAAGTGTACAATAATAACGTTCAGTAAAAGATTAAGACATTTCTTTCATTTGTTTGTAATGGAATTATTAACTTGGCCTCATCATTTGAAATTTAGACGTCCATTAACCATTTTTAACGTTATATATTCATTGTCAGACAACCTTCTTAGTTCAGAATAATTATTCCCATAGATACACATTGTAAAATCGTGACAAAGTTATGATGAGAACACTGTAAAGTAATTCATACTCTGCGAACGTGCAGTTTGTGACCGGCTGACATGTAAGTTGTTATCGCGATTTTGCCGATATAAGAACGGTTGTCCAGCCTCTACTTGTGCATAAATAGAGGAGCATTTGTCCTGCTATCATTGCTGTGAAATTTTTTGAAACAATTGCTCGCTTGCATCCTCAGGTCTGCATCCCTGAGAACTACAGTGAGAGCACTGACACCAAATAACTTTAAATCTATATCCATTTTACAATATCTTCACCTCGGCATCATGGCGCAGAAAAAGGTATGAGCGTTTCAAGGCTAAAATTACAAATTATCGCACCCTAATCAAAATTTATTACAATCTGGAATCACCCTTTTTTAATATACCCCTTTTCTCCATCATACATCACTTTAAAATATTCTCTTTCTAGGTTTTCATAGAAATAGAAAGAAACGTGGAAAAGAAATTTTAAACGCTGCGTGACCTTTTTGCAATCTTTACAAGTAAATAGATGATTTCGGGAAAATTTTTACTTTTGTATGTGCATGAATTTCGGAGTATCGCCTTATTACGATCTAAGTATCGTCGGCAATATTTAGAATGTGACTTTATTTTTATTTATGAACTATCATGAGAATTGAATTTTAACGTTACATAGTTGAGGTTAACCTTTATTTGTGCGCACGCAGGGACTTCTCCAGCGTCTGGACGAGGGCGTCGTGATTGGCGACGGCGGTTTTGTTTTTGCCCTCGAGAAGCGCGGCTACGTGAAGGCCGGACCGTGGACACCCGAGGCTGTCATCGAGTACCCGGAGGCGGGTGAGTGCTTGTGATGCATCAAGTGATGAACAGTTTTCTCAAGGGCGCGGGTGAGTTCGTGATGTGTTCGCGCCTGTGATGCATCAAGTGATGAGCGGTTGACTTAAGGGCTGGTGAGTCCGTGATGTGTTCGTGCCTGTGATGCATCATGTGATGAACAGTTTTCTCAAGGGGTGGGAGAGTTCCTGATGTGTTCGTGCCTGTGATGCTTTCTATGATGAACAGTTTTCTCAAGGGGTGGGAGAGTTCCTGATGTGTTCGTGCCTGTGATGCATCAATTGATGAGCAGTTGACCCGGAGGCGTCCGTTAACACCTTAACTGGTTATACAAAAATAATTTAAATATTAAACTGCTTAAATACTTTTGAAGCCTCGCTGTCTATTTAAGCTTTTTGGTCTAATTTTCTCCGGCATTCCTAAGGCTTGGGTAAGCATCTATTCAAGAATTGTTAAACATATTTTGCTTGCACTGCTCATGGACATGGATATCATTATTAGCTCGGAACCAATCAGATGTAGCACTCCGGCTTTTAGCAGTTTCCTCTTACTGCACCTAATTTCAGTGCCTCAACAATATTTGCCTTTTCTGTCTGTTAATCACATTAGAATTTCTGTCTCTCCCGTTTTGTTATGCTTTCGGTATTTTAATAATCCTTGGCAGTAAATCAGTTCTACAAGACTTGCATGAACGTGTGCTGTATTGCAGATTTGTTATAATTTCAATATTTTATTAATCATTGAAAAATATAATATGTTCTGTAACAATAATTACCTTTCCTGTTGGTTATTAATGTCACTTGTGCTGTATTTGCGCTTGATATAATGTCTATACAATATTAACGCTTGGCAGTAAAGTCCCTCCATCGCGAGTTCCTGCGCGCCGGCAGTGACGTGATGCAGGCCTTCACATTCTACGCGTCTGATGACAAGTTGGCCAACAGAGGCAATATGTCTAGTCAAAAATATACCGTGAGTACAAGGCGAAAATTTAGTTTATATACTAAATTATACTTATTTGTTTATTTTTAGTGCATATTCTCATTTATGGTGAAAGGGCCTATAATATGGGAGTTGATTTACGATTTTCTCACGATTCTTCAAGCATGTGGAGTAAGTGACCTACTAGTACTAGTACGCAATAGACATCACTAAAAAAAATATACGGAGATAATATTTCCTAAGTTAACTTGAACTCACTCATATTTGAGCTTTCAAGTGGCAAATTGCATCGAATTTTTCACCTAAATTTAACTTTCAAACCGGCGTTGAGTTGCAGTGCGCAGGGATTAACCAGGCAGCATGTTAGTAAGCCGAGTTAATTTTAGCACACGTACATTTAAGTGACAAATTGCTTTGAATTTTTCACCTTAACTTTGCCTCTAAATCTCGGTTGCGTTGCAGTGCGCGGGGATCAACCAGGCGGCGTGTCGGTTGGCTCGAGCCGTGGCCGACGAAGGCTCCAACGGAGGCGCACTTGTTGCTGGCGGTCTGTCGGAGACGCCTTCTTATCTCTCAGGTATTACAATAATTATAACAAATAGTAATTAGAATAAAAATAATACTCATTTATTTCAAGCTTAGCAACTTTCTTGAACACCAATTCGAACATTAGTTATAATGGATTATTTCCAAATTAACAGATTTGGCAGCAGTAATAATTAATTGCCGAGTAGTGATGACTAATTGTATTCTGAACATTGTAAGTAATATCATGTAAATGACATGTCTGGTCAGGCGGTGCGTAAGATGGTTACTATTCTTCTTTCTATGGTAAATGACAAAACAAATGACAATTAATAATTAAATGAATTATATGACAATTAATAATTCTTGATGCTTTGAATAATATTGTTAATTTATGCTCCTCATAAATGTTTCAAATTAGTTTTTTTTATTTTGAGATGAGTAGCATCTTTCTGATGATGATTATATGAACTTCTAAATTCAAAGAAAATATGTTTGTTGAGGACTAACATGAGCTTTCTTCAAGCTTCATGACAATCTCCAAAGCCTGTATGGATTGGAGTTAAAGTTCTGATTAATTTTATGGTACATGAAAGCATTTTTTAGCGAATCAATTGTAAACAATTTAAGAACGAAGAAAACACTTATAAGGTCATCATCGGAGGTGCAATAATTATGATGCTTTTATGATGGTGGTATATGATGCTTTTTCCATCAATGCACCGAACGGTCCTCGAATATTTTATTCATTTACACTTTTCCTGCGAAGGCGCTGGCAAAGAAGCTGTTCAGGCAGAATTCAAGACTCAAGTGGATGCATTTATAGAAAGCAAAGTGGATTTCCTCATTGCCGAGGTGGGAATCGATCTAGAGCTATTGCCTACTATGAATAGATTCTTCGAGAGGAGATTGATACAGCATATTTTCTCAAAATGTACCTTTTCTCTGTTCTCTTTTAAACAATCTAATGTAAAATTGATTGAATTTCAACTTTTTGGTTAAGTGAGCTTAAATTCTTCAAATTCCAAGTGGCGGTTTCAAGTATTTTGCTATCTAAAAATTTACACAAGTTTCTTAGTCGATTACTGCGACGACTTTCGGACATTCAGCATTCATCGCAGCTTAATTCTAGTGGAATAAATTATATTTTCGGGCTCTCGAAAATACTACATGCGGTAATGTCATCAATATATAGTTCACTATTTTACGTGGCCAGATTTCTCAAGCGCTTGAATAACTTTCCATTTCTAAGACCCTGCTCCCTAATTATATCAATTACTATATTAATTATGTATTAATGCTTTATTCTTAACACTACACCAAATAGCGAGGACAGAAATGCTTTTTATACCTCACATACCGGGTAATTTCCGGAATGGCTTTGAATTCAATATTGTACGTCTCCTTGCTCGTAACAAAAATTCGTTGACTGAATTTTTCTGATTAAAAAATATTGGTTTCTTGCAAACAAGCAGCATAAAATTGTATACATTTTTTATGCCAAAAAATTCCTCATAGACATTTCGGTTCAGAAATTTTTGAAAAGTACTGTTATGAATTTTTTTCGAGATCTGTCCGGTCGTTTAGACCTGCAAGGTTGTATGTCCTGACGTGCAATGTTCCTATTGAAATCCGATATCGGTCGGAAGCGCTTTGTTTTCGCATTTTTCTTACGACCCCAACCGTCCAAAAGCATTTGTATTCGAGTTGTGATTCACGGATGCCTTGTTAGAATTTTCCGTAGAAAACGGCCGGAATAAAGGTGCTATGGAACTTTAGAACTTATAAAATGAATCGCAATAAACTATTTGGCTTTATATTCTCCAAAGAAGTTTTTTTTTCAGTTGTATTGGCGTAAAACGATCGTTTAAATTAATTGAGTCACCATTCCGCATATATCGCCCGAACTCATAATTATTTTCGATGATGTCCAATGATAGGCCTACCTAAATTGAAGAAAGCTCGCAACTCATGTTATTCGATAAAGCTTACCGTAAAATGTTTCGACATGTTTTCGCAAAATGTTTCCCTACGTAAAATGTTTCCCACTTATTTTGAAGCCACTGCGCAACTATTATCGGCCAAGTTGACGATATCAGCAATTGCTTTACAAACTTATCAAATTACTCCTCTAAACGCAGTACTTTGAGTACGTGGAGGAGATCGAGTGGGCCATCGAAGTGTGCAAGCGGTCCAGCCTGCCCGTGGTGTCCACCATGTGCATTGGTCCTGAAGGCGACCTACATGAGGTGTCTGCCGGTGACTGTGCAGTGCGCATGGCAAAAGCTGGCGCAGACGTTGGTTAGTGGAATCGCGATGTTGGAGTATGTAATAAATGTTAGAAACTTTGATACCTACGCGAGCTTGATTACAGACGTTTGTTTGTTTCGTATTATTGTTAAACTTTTTAGCGCATTTTCTCATTAATGGAAAAAATGCACTATTGTGCTCGCCGTGTCCGTCTGTCCGTCCGCGACTTCATGTTTTCGTCGACGAGCAAATGCGCTTTTTATCACTCACTGCAGTGAGTACTGAGTTATATTTTTATAGTTGGTGTGACGCTGCCACTAGGAAAGTGTGTAAAAAAAGAGGCAAGATGTGTCATATAGTGGCCGGAAAGAGGTATAATAAATAATAATAAAAAACACTAAGAAACAAAAATTGACACACAACGCGTAATTGAGTGGTGTGCAGGTGTAGGTGGATTTGCTTTGGGGCCGGCTTTATAGGGGATCTGGATCCCATCAGGGCTTTAGGAAGTTTTTCATATTCACAACTCACGCTGTTAATATCAACAGTGGGCGTGAACTGTCACTTTGATCCGTTCATGAGTCTCAAGACCGTCCGTCTGATGAAAGAAGCGCTGGACGCCGCCGGCCTCAAGCCGCATCTCATCATCCAGCCTCTCGCCTTCCACACTCCAGACGCCAAGAAGCAAGGATTCATCGACCTTCCTGAGTTTCCGTTTGGTTTGTTGCCTTTTAATGCACGCTGCTGTGATTATCTCACATGTTAGGTACGGCTTGAATTATTAACACTTTTAAAGCACTGATATTTGATAATGATAAAAATGAACGATGAACAACATCAATAATAAGTAACACATATCAAAGAATCTTAATATAAGTTTATACAGAGCACAGTAAATCGTAGCCCAGTAACGGCAAGATGGCTAAGGGCTTTCAATACGATAAGCTTCAAACACGAAAAGCAACAGTTTATATATGAAGTCCGATACTAACTCTGAATTCATTATTTCACCCCAATCTCAAATCGTATTTCAGTAGAACAGGAACACAGAACATTAACACATCTAGAACATTCATACCTCTGCATGAGCAGAATATCATTACACTGAACACTGCAGGTGAACGCTGAGCAAAGACGCTTTACGTCGCACGCTCTACGCGATCATCAGACGCTCTCCTGATACCTATAACTTAATACAGCGGTTTGCTTTCTTCTTTATATTGCTGTGAAGAAATTCTTAATATTCACATCAAAATATTGTAATTAGATCATGCAGTGTCTAACACTCTCATCCGATCGTGCATTGTCGTCTTAATATCATTTAGCTTGGGGCAAGTTTTGATCTTTTTTATCTAACACTTTCACGTTTTTTACGTTTTCTGTCCTTGGACTCGTTTCAAGTGTTCACATGGGTCATGGCGTACCACAAGGAACGGTACTCGGACCATGCTCTTTCTCATTCACTCAGCCGACATACATGTAGATATCTATGTGAACCACGCCTCTGCATCGTCATTCGTGGACACCAGGATGCTGATGACTTATAATATTATATAGCGATTTCAGTAATTCAAATGATGTAACTTATCGACAAAAAAATTAGTGTTTTTTGAAAGAATTTTGATAGAGTTGAAATATTTCAAATCATTTATGCAGGATGATATCCATTTCACTTACGTTAATAAAACTGGCATTTCTTGAGCTCGATAAAACCGTTCAAGAAAACATTCCTGCGACAAGTTTTCCGGGGATTTTTCTCTTCCGAACTTGGCAATCCTGACTTTATTGGAGTTTTGTTTCCAAGTAATTCCTTCTTACACACACTTTTCACGAGCCTTGCCCAAGGCTTACTATTATAGTGACAAATTTTAATTTCATTTTTTTTTTGCACACAAAGCGATTAAACAAATTTTTTCAATTAAATATCGGCTACGTAGTGTTTCTAAAACATTATTGTCACAGAATCATCTTCACAAAAATGAAGACTCCACCTTAATTGAACTTTTCATAGTGGAGCTAACTAAATCTATTCTTTTAATTCACTTTCCCCAATTTTTGACATATTATTCCACGTTATGAACGCTGCAGCCTCACTCAATAAAAATTGCATTACACAATTCTCATTAATAATTCATTTAATAATTCTATTTCTCTGATGCACAGCTCTTGAGCCGCGCGTATGTACGCGCTGGGACATGCACAAATACGCCCGGGCTGCGTATGAGCTTGGCGTTCGATACATCGGCGGCTGTTGCGGCTTCGAGGCGCATCATATACGCGCGATCGCTGAGGAACTCAAAGAGGTGCGTATTTTTAGCGCATTTTCTCATTTATGGAAAAAATGCACTATTGTGCTCGCCATGTCCGTCTGTCCGTCCGTCTGTCTATCTGTCTGTCTGTCCGTTACTTCACGTTTTCGTCGACGAGAAAATGTGCTCTCTGTCACTCACGGCAGTGAGTACTGAGTTATATTTTTTCAAATTAGAGGTTCACTTTGAAGGTACTTTCTCAAAACTGAACTATCATACTAATAGTTAGAGATTCGTATGAAATTTCATGTTAGATTAAAATAATTTTAATCTAACGCTTAAAATGGCGCGTGAAAGTTCTATGTCAGATACTATCAATTAATGCTTTAGAAATACGAAATATTTTAATGTGAACTCCTCAGGAACGCGGGCGCCTGCCTGAGGCGAGCGAGAAGCACATCCCGTGGGGCGGCGGCCTTACCATGCACACCAAACCCTGGGTCAGGGCAAGGTCTGTATATCACTTTTATTTTCTAGCGATGATGATATATACCAACCATCGGTGAGCAGAAATGAAACTGAAATTATTGCTGCGAATAATTAACGGTATGAGTATTTTTAACGGTATGAATATTAGGAAATGGATGTCATCAAAATAATAAGTTAACTTCAGAGGACCTCAACGACAATTTGGAATATATACCTTTAGTTTCCAACGTGTAATTTTCGTGATTGCTTATTCTTCATTTATAAGCCCAAAGTTAATATTTACGAAAGAATCACCTGACGCAGGGCTGGTAGGGACTACTGGGAGTCTATGGTCCCGGCCACGGGACGCCCCTACAGCCCCAGCATGAGCGTGCCAGATCAGTGGGGGGTGGTACGAGGCTCTGAAGAACTCAAGCAGAACTCGAGTGCCACCTCCGAACAAGAGATCGCGCAGCTCAAGATCACAGCTCAGCAGAAATGTTCACACAAAAGGGCGTAGCTCAGTAGCATATTAAATTTATGTTAAAAATTTATTTAACATAAATTTATTTAAAAATTTATTTTTTGAGGAATTAAATAATCGCTTTCACGGCATGGTACTATATGTATGAGAAATGATTTATTAGATTTGGACAGGCCGTACGGAAGTTTTCGACTCTAGTCAGCTTATATTCATTGGGCAAAATATTATTAAAGCTAAACTTGTCATAAAGTAATCCTGCTATCGGTGCTTTTCTATTGTTCAACAGCCTCAAATCGAAATGATTAAAACGAAATCCAAACTAAAATGTATTTCTAAATCCGAACTTTAAAAGAGATGAGATAAGTTTGGACGATTTATCCAGTCGTGATTTTACTTTGACTTAGCTCAAGCGTGGCAGAAATCGCGTAGCCCAACTATAAAATCTTTTCCTCGAAATTCAGATGTATATATACATTGAATATATTATTATCCTATCATTGTTTTAAAAATTTCTTATCATATCGAAGATAATACGTAACATCTGAAGAGGTTTTGCTTTTCTCACAATTCCCATTGTAAAGCATTTGCATATTTACAATGATGTCCGGGAGTCATAGGCCAATATTGTGATGAGAGAGCTACCATACTCTAGAGATGGCATCAAGTTTGATGAGAGTTACCACACTCTAGAGATGGCATCAATTGTGATTTGAAAGTTATTACGCCATAGTCATGGCTAAATAGATTATCAGCTCAGTGCGAGAAAAGCATTTTTCACCTGCATACAACTTCTTCAGCATAGAGCATACGACATGGGTAAAAAACCAATAACGATGTTGCCTGTACCAGAAAATTATTTCATTACTACGTATGTAGTCATTTTCTGATGCTCAAACGTATCTGTATCTTCTTTAAAAAACTCAATTTTTATTCCAATATGTTTTGAAACGAGTGAGATCACTCATTCAAGTTGAGGAATTTCTGTCGGCGCAGTGTAAACAGCCTTTGATGTCAGCCCGCGATGAGGCTCTGAATCGGAATTGAATTCTGAATATATTTTTAATCTATCTGTGAACTGAACGAAGGTCAACAGTAAATTTTAAAATAAATTACCAGGTATTAAATCATATTTATTTGGAGTAACATGGATACAGAAGGCAATTAAATAATAATTTGGATGAAAATATTTCATTTTTGGTAGGATTTTTATGGGCGCTAAAACATAACTACAAAATATATTCGTCAGAGACAAATTAATCCCACGTATTATCAATTAAATTCGAGTTTTGAAATATTATTAATCATTGAGGAGACAATAAATTCATTTTCAAAGAAACAAAGTCATATTTTAATGCCAAACCAGGGAAATATTTTCTCGAAGTGAGAGTTTTTTGTTGAAAAATGGTAACGTACAAAATATCGAGCCCGCTGCATCAGAATTAAGTTATAAACACATTGAAAAAAATTAAATGGTCATATTGTGCCATAAGAAAAAGTTGTTTCAAATTACCATTAATTGAAGATGCTTTGTTCGATTGGTGATGTTGGAACTACTTTTATAACTTGCTATATAAACCGCATAGCGAGTTTGTGCCTTTGATACAATTCTTTCGATTTGAAAAACAATAATTTTTTATTCTCGAAGACAGATATTGTGAAATTAATTTAAGTTCACATTGTTAGTTCTAATTAATACATTAAACCAAATGTTGAAATCCCGAATGTAAATGTGACATTTTCTAATGTCGAAGAAAAATAGTATTACAAAGTAAACTGGAATAACATATTTGTTCAGCATATTTCGAATGTGTGAACTTTTTAACGGTAATATGAATCATGGATCCAGAGTTTATTTCACGGAGCTCTAAAAATTGGCTTACAAATTAAGCCTGAGAACTGCGAGGTGGTTTAGATAGCATTTACACATGCTGCTTTTAAGAGAACATGGATAAAACTCCGTTATTAACTCTCTGGACATGCCAACACAACAGCGAAAGCGGAAAAACTGTACATATATTGTTTATGATGTCTACCATAGAGTTTGCAATTGAAGATTTTTAGGGTTCAATACATGAAGGTGAAACAAATGCTTGCAGAGTAACACTATGTCAGGTCAAAACATGAGTAAATAGCTGCCGGAGTCCCATCGCGACTGCCAACATCTCGTCACAACTGCCAGCATCTCGTCACAACTGCCAGCATCTCGTCACAACTGTCTGTCAGCATCTCGTCACAACTGTCAGCATCTCGTCACAACTGTCAGCATCTCGTCACAACTGTCAGCATCTCGTCACAACTGCTAGCATCTCGTGACACTGATGTTTAAGTGAAATTTTTATTTACGTTTTAGTGAATGTTTGTAGTTATATTTATTCATGTATCATATGTCATCCGCGCTATATTTCTGCGTTTATTAGTTTATTTATTTCATTAGTTCTAATTTTGTGTTTTCGTTTTGTATGTGCAGAAAGGCTCCGAAATAAGGTCTTAATTCGCTCATTATTGAAAATAGTTAGTCGGTCCAAAGAAAGCTCACGGTTTTTGTTTGTTTTATTTATGGTTTTGTATTCATTGATAGGTTATTTCGACATTTTTTTGTTCATTTATTAAGTTTTATTCATCCTTCTTAATGGCAATAATTATTACGACACGATCATAAGTAAATGTCTGGGCCACTGACGGCTTTATTTTCACATCATTTATTTATTTAATGGGCCCCGACAAACGTTAGTCAAATGTTGGAACGTTAAAGTTAAACGTGGTTTGCTTTAATCAACGTAACTGTTGCTTCCGTCATTTATCTTCGGGGCTTTGACTGAAAAAAGAATTCCGTTCAGATGTTTGCAGAAGCATGAGCTTCATAATTGATCTAAAGATAGCATCATTGCCAGGTGCAAGTTGTACTTGAAAATTTTAAATAATTTGCTTGCATTCATCTAATTTTCACGGCTTAGAAAATTCATCAACCTTCCCAAGAAAACTAAAACATGTTTTATATTTCAGTTGGTAGTTTGTTGATGAACAAGATGTATATTAATTCATAGAAAAACTTTAAAATTAATTAAATTATACCAGAAAATGACTTGGATTGAAAAGGCAAGATTATTAGCAAGGAGAGGAAGGCCCGTCTCATTCATCGCAATAATGAGAAGCCGATGTGTAATGAACTTAATAATGTTTGTGAATCTATCGTCTGACTCAGTGGATTCAATTTTGACCAGGTCTCACCTGGAATACTATGAAGCGAACGACCTCGGTCAGGTCAGTGTTTGCTTGGCAGTGGAGGTGAGAAGTCACGCGCCACTCGCAATCAGTCACTCGAGGTTCTCTTAGCGCTTTTGTTCCAAAACGCGTTCCAGAAATCGTGCTGTACTGCGATGTTTTTGCATTTTTGAATTATATTCCCGATAACTTTGTAAAAAAAAATTAAAAAAAACCTTTGGCATCAGTGTTTCATGACTACTTGATTTATAGCCCACTGAAGGCATGTAATCAATCAAAATCACATAAGTTTTGAATAGTCTGCAATTGAGCACGAAATTTAGCAGTGTTAGAGCCCAACGCCGTCCATTTCTTATAAGATATCATGGTTCTGGAAATTTCTAGTGCATCGAGATGTAGAAGCAAATAAGAAAAGACTTGCAATACTTGGAGTCGAGCAAGGTTTCAATTGTTTGCTGTACCAATTAAATTCTTAGTGTGTAAACTTAGCAAGTTTTCAATTGTTTGCTGTTCCAATTAAATTCTTATTGTGTAAACTCATATTTAAAGTGTTGATTTTTGCCAAGTGCTTATTCGTGTGTTGTGAACTCTACGGGTATTGTTATTCTCAGATTAAATGAAAATGGATGAATAAAAATTTGAATGAGAAAACAGTCCATCATAATGACCTTAAAATTAAACAAATATGAACAGATCTTCACCATTCACAAAAACTTACAACATCACAATTACTATGTCATAATTACTATACATGAGCTTATTGTGAATGTCAAATTGGTCGATAAATTTGAAATCCATCGTCTAATTGCAAGCCTGAACCAGAAGCACTGAAAATTTAACATTTATGTCACCTATCGGGCTTGCATGTCAAGTATTTGCTTCAAATTCTCTCTCGATTAATACTCTGTACGAGAATCTTTATCTCTTTTTACTCTACTTGAAAATCTTCACCTTTCTTCACTCTGTACGAATATCTTGACTCTTCTAAACTCTGGAAGAATATCTCAAACCCTATTTGCTCTTCATAAACACTATCAACACTATCAACTGAGAGTCAAGCACATTGTGTTAATCTTATATTTGACAAATATTTCCGAGCTATCAGGATATGATTTCATTCACTGGTGACTAAGTAGTTTATTGAATGACATGCATTTGTCTTTTCAGCATTCAGTTACACTTAAAGTTGCGAAGTGAGAATGTCTGAGATACACATAATTCACTCGGTTAATGAATTCAATCGTAGTTGCCTTATCAATAATACTTTTAATTGGGTAAATTTTCCTGCGGTACGTGTAGTTCATCGCCGTTTTCATTTTATCGCCGTTTTTATCTGAATGCATACTTGATTAGTCCCTCAGTATATATTCTTAGTAAACAAGCGGTCCTTTATACTTTCTATATTTTGAAAAAAAAAACATTTTTAATTCGATCAAACCTTCCAGCTTTTCAATGTAATTGCTTTTGATAAAAATATGAGCACAGAAAAAAGTTTGTTTTCAGAATTGGGTAAATAATCTATTAAATTTTACGTCATTGCAGTTCCTTTTTTGACATATATTTCTTCGTCTTCATACTTTCGTTATTAACACAGTGTTGCTTTACGACCTATTTCGGGGAATTATTAATAATCTTGAATTTTGCAAGAATTAATTCAAATTTATTAAGTCAATTTGAAAAATATAAGGGACCGAAATAACTTGAACTTTGAACCAATGACATAATTCATACGTACAATAATCTAAGCTGATTTTTATGTAATGTTATATTAAAATGTAAATTAAAATTTTACAACAAAAGCTCTCTTCTCATTAAAAAGAAATTAACATTACTTCTATGTACAACTATTCTAGGATTTTGTGAACTCTTTTAGTATTCAATTTTCTTTACTTATTAGATTAAGATTGTCTAGTGCCTCAATCTGAGGAATCGAATGCGGAGAAAATTGTGTTATATAAATTATGCTTCTTGCTTGTGAACCTTTGAATCTCAGACCAGGTCACCTGTGCGTGATATGAGTTTCGACGATGCAATACTCTTGGCAAAAATTGTCAATGCCAAATTTAATGGTAAAACCAGGCGTATAAATGTTTTGAAAATTTTCTAAGACACGAAGCTGAAAATTTCTGTGACACGAAATGAATGAGTGCTAAATCTGCAACTACATTGAGCCATGTTTGTTACTTGAAAACATTACTAATTGTTCAAATAGCATGGGCTACTGAAACCATGCATGATTCTTTCCCATTGATGAACTTCTTCGGCAACTCTTCAA